ATATAAACGATATTGTCACATCTTATATCTCGTATAAAAATATATCGATATTTTTAAAAAGCTCGATATATCGCCCAGCCCTATTACCTGTATATACGAACTTCGGTTGCTTATGTTTATGGGACCACCTTGTGTCTTCCTTTTATATTTTATTCTAGGTTTATTCTATTCTATTCTATTCTATTCTATTCTATTCTATTAACTTGAAGAATCACATTAAAGTTATGGTTATCTCACTGTCATGTCAGGTATGTCCTGAAACAACTGCATTACTGCTCACACAACATGGATGCTTTGCGAGCATCTGCACAGACAGCACGTTTACACAAAGCGAGCGAAGAACCCAGGGTATGCATGAGCCCAGCCCAGCAGCCGGGGCCTGCGCTTCAGCGGGTAACAAAGGCAGTAATGAGCCTCCATTTCTACCAGTACATGTTCCTACAGCAGAATCACAGTGGAGATCTCTTTAAAGTCTATTTGGGTTGATTTAAAACATTTCTTTGTGTTGTTAGGTTTGTGTTCATATCAAAACTTCAATTTAATTTAATTTAATTTTATATAGCGCCATATCACAAAAACAGTTGTCTCAGGGTGCAAACACGAAAGCAAAAATTTCTTATGTGTCCTCATTAAATGTCAGCGTGTGGGCCATAAGCTCAAGGTCTGTATTATCAGCTGCTAATGATGTGACAGTGATTTCAGACCTTGTTCTGGAGTAATGTAAAAGTAATGCAAGGAGCTTTAAAACGAAATACTTTCTCCAGTACCTTCTTACATTACTACATCTTTTTACTATTTTTTGAAGTTAGTTGTTCTATTTGTCTTTTATGTGAAGTCCAGGCTTTGTTAACGGGTTCTTGGAGACAGAGATTGCAAAATAAGTGCCTAAAAAAGCACTTTGGGTGACTGTCAGCTGTTTTGAAAATGCGCTATATAAATAATTCACTTGATTTGGCTTTTTTAAAAATTTGAATAATGTCTCCAACACTGCTGAAAGGCTGGTGACCTGTCCAGGATACACCCTGCCATTCGCACAGTGACAGCTGAGATAGACATCCTAAGGTAAACTAGTTTCAGGTGATGGGCTAGACTTAAAAAAAAAGAAAGACAGAAAAAAAAAGATTGCCTGGTTCAGGAACACTACGCCCCGCCTTAAAACTAAGGTTGTGGTAGAGGCTTTTTAGAAACACTGTTTAGCCTGGCGTTAGCACATGGCATTGGAGACTAGAGGGGCATGATCTGAATCTGAGTAGTGTTTTGCTACTAAATGTCTGTGCTAATCACTGTTTTTGCATTATGAATAACACTTTTAAGCTTAATTACACTTGGCACCAGCTAAGTCTAATTAGTGGATCGGGGATTGATTTTGTCGAGTCTTAAGACTCCTGGGTGAGCAGAGTAGCTCAGCACTCAAATGATCGCCCCCCCAGGTGGCCGGGGAGGATTCTGGGCAGACCTGGTACTGCAGCACCAACTATTGGTGTCTCAGTGCTCAGTTAAGTGTAAAAGGTATGAGTTTACAAGTCAGAGGTCACAGTTCTGTCCCCGAAAGATGTGGTTTGCTTGCTCCTGATTGAGTATGAGTTGCTGCTTCAAGTGGAGAACAGCGTTAGCGTGTTCAGGGTGAGAGAAAAGTGGAGCGTGAGATACACTCAGAGTCATTCAGCATCTAGAGACGTACTGAACTGGTCCGTTGTGTACATTGTGAGGTTACACTACTTGTTACAATACTTTTGCGTTACTTCAGAAATGACCTGAAATGCACCGTCACATAATTGCCAGTTGACTATATAAACCTTAGGCTACTGTTCCACACACCATCACAAATCAGCAACACAAAGCAAAGATGAAAACCAGCTCAAAGAGACAAAGAGGTAGAAATGAAACTTGAAATACTACAAGCCTGCCATCTCATCCTTGCCTTTATTACCTGTTCAAGTCCAGGCCCATAGTAACAATCGCCATATTATTTTTCCAATGCAGTAATTGAAAGTTTCTCATCAATAATTGTGTTTTTTGAATCATTTTGAGTGTAAACGCTCGAAATTCACAGCCAATGAATTGACAAATAGCTCTGATGTTCGAGAGCATGCGCTGACATACAGACTGAACCGGCATGTAATTGTTACACTTAATAAATGTGATTATTAGTTAGGTGTAACACATTCAGGAGTAAACAAGCTGATGGTGAAGTCTGACCATTTTAGCCTCGGCATAAATCTTATATGCCAATACTTGTGCAACCATCTCAAAATCTAATCTAAGGTTAATCTAATAAACAAATCACACTCAGTGCTGAGAACAACCCGCTTCACAAAGCAATTTTTCTTTCCGCTCCGTTCGCTTTCAAGCCCAGCTCTGACTTCAGAGGAGGTGCTGCATATTAATGCGTGTGTCATACTTATTTTTGTTGTGCCCGTGGATCATGTGCTGCGTTTGTGTTGGCATTTTATTTTCTACCACAGTGACACGATGAAGGTCGTTATAGCAGGAATGTTGTTTCTATATGAAAGAACACTGGTGGATATGCTGCAGGCATGTCAGTACAGCTATTTGTTTTACAGCAGCAAGAAAACACTCGGTATGCACTCTATAGGATAACTGAGGGCCGCATTTTCTTTTCTTTTTGAATATTAAACTTGATTAAACAAGTAAAATCTCAACATACATATCCTGAGAGAAGCGGTAAAGGATGGTGGATGCTCGAGTGCTACGCCTACACTTAGGTTTGCTGTCTGCAAAGGCTTATCTTCTCTGTGCTTTGACAGGGCTTAGGGAGGGAAGAGGTGAGCCATACAGGCAGTGTCAGTCAAAACTGTGTGAGGAGTACATTTGCAGTTCTCCCACTAACAGGCCTAATGTGTCTTTATTTTATTTTTTTATATTTCTGTCTTTCTCCTCCCAGCGTGGCCACAACTTGCCAGCTTTCCCGATAGAGGAATGGCGCGCCGCTTGGTATTGTTGCTCGCTGGCTTACTTTCCGTGTGCTTACGGACCGTGGACCAAAGCTTATTCTCATCAACAGGTATAGTGCTTCTTTGCAAGGTCACGCCTGTTATCCCCCGATAAACAAAGACGTGCCGAAGATGGGGAAAAACAAAGCTCCGGTGCTGGCGTCAACAGTGACAACACGGCTTGGCTGTCTCCGCTGATAAAGGCATAGCAGCACACAGCTGGAAAAGCAACAACCCGGACAAGCCACAGTATTAGTTGAATGCTGTCACTCAAAATAAGAGGGGAGCAGGGATAATTAGAGTAGCCACACTGGTGCGTGGGATGACTTAAAGTCTAACTTCAACATTTTTCCTGAAGTAATTACCGTAGGTGGCTGATAACTGCTCCATCAATTGATGGATTTCAACAGTTGCAGAGTAACACTGCGCAGCAGCGTTAGCAGAGGTGCTGTGTAGTGATGAGGCCCCAGGGGAGAAGTCTGACCTCCAGACAGCTCTAATAATGTTCTTTCCAACTGACAGGCACAAGGCGCTATGGCAGGCCACCCTAAGCCAGTCGTAATGACAAGCTGTAATGCACAGGTCAGCCATTTTGTTATCAGCCAAGACTTGTCAGTAGGGCTGAAGTCAGGAAGAGACAGGTGGAGTGGTGTTCGTCACATGTCACATCATTACCTTATCTTTGCCATTACTGAAATCAAATACATCACCGAGGAGAAAGGCTATTCTTGAACTTGTACTTTCTTGAAACTGGGGCTGCAAAAGTGAACAAATTACCAATTTATTTTTATTAAACTTAACAACTTGTACTAAAGGTTGTGATGTAACCTTGGTGTTCTTTCTTGGATAACTGTAAATTACGCCTGGAAATGGCTGCGCAGGAGCTGACACGAAAGTGAGAAAATGACTAAACGTTAATTATAAAGATCACGTTATATTGCATCCAATTAGTAAAACAAATGTCTCCCTGAAAAAATAAGAGAGCAGAACACACAGTCGCAAAGCCCCTTTAGCAACGGATGCACGCGCTGCAGTACCTCTGATTGGTGGCCATTATTGGCACCCTCCACCCTTTGATCTGGCTCAGCTCCGTGTCTGACACCTCAATCTGGAGGGGGAGACGGGGGATCCACACGTTGAGCTCCAGCTGAGCACTTAGGTATCCGTGGGTGAAGTTCACCATCATCTTCGCCTTGCCCTTCATCTCCTTGCCGTTCACAAAAACGTAGTCACACCTGTCAGACACCTGCATGTGAGGAGGGGGGAGGATTAAAAAAGACAGCATTTAAGTTGAGCTCTTCTGACGGCTGCGCTAGATGACTACACAGCAAATTACACAGTGCAATATACTGTACAGAGTACCATGTTGGCCCCGGCCCTGCGAGTTGATTATAAGGCTTTACACTTCTGAGCACTCCTCTGATATAGCATTCCTGTAACTACTTTGAACAAGATGAAAGGTCCTCGATCTGCTCGACTCTCAGGAGAAGAGGGGGGAGGACAGCAAGGACATCTTTGAACCTGAGGGAAAGCACAGCGTGGTCTGCTGTTTTATTGTTGTTCAGCCTGCAGCTGAAAGAGGAACCAGCAGATGGACACTAGTAAGATGACAGCTGATAAAAATGACCAAAGTTGAAGCTAGTGGTTTTGTAAATTATGTCATAGAAAGAATAAATGAACCAGTTTTGTGCTTTAGAAACATGTAACCGTCAGAAGGTTATTCCTTGATTATTAATTATGAGGATTTACAGACACACACAATTACCTCTTTAAGTCGAAGCACTTAATAGGTAATTATTTAGTATATCTTGAATGTAGGAACACATTTTTTTATTCCTCTGGGTGTTTTCTCAATCTTACATATTAATCTCATCTTGGAACAGACTGCCATGGCTGGTACCAGATGGAATTCGACGGTCTGGGAAAAATTTCTTTTTTTTCCCTTGCTTCTTCTTCTTCCAAGTTATTTCTCTACAGTGAGATAAAACCATAAACAACCATTTATCATGAAGCTGTGGCAGGATATCCTCTGAGACCAAAGGAGGAAAAAAAAATTGGGTGTGACAGAATGTGTTCTGTTCACTTCACCTTCAGCATGAAGCTAGCTGTGGAGTTTGTGCAGGACCGTGGAAAGTAAATGTGGCTGTTTTGTATAAATAAAAGCAGATATTTGGAGAGTTGCCGCATCGATTTTTTTAAATTTTGTTTATTTCTTTCTTTCTGTCTGCACCACTGAGCTTGCAGGCTGAACTAGTGGCATTCCTCAAGATCTGGTATGTGGATTGCAAGAATAGCCCCACTTGGTGTACGCTTGATCAAAACAACAGAACATCAAAACAGCTTCATGAGAGACCTTCCAGCTGATTTCTTTTGCTTCCATTCATCTTGACATATGGATATAAACATGCAGCTTCAAAGTCAGGAAAGAACTGAAAGAACAATTTGATGCAATAACATGTACATGCAAAATCTGCTTTGAAATGAAATGCATAGCAGTGTTTTTGTGCAATAAAATATATACCTTCAACACTATTTTGGTACTTTGTTTTCTTATTTAGTTTTTGTATAAAACTATTTTGGACATATCTGTAGTCCACATGTGCACATTTGTTTCTTTTCTCTTTGCCTTCTCGAGTTTGACAGCAGGTCGGCAGTGCAGAGAGGTGATTCTTTCTTTTTGTCAACAAGACGACATGGTAGTGATTATGATACAAGTTTATACTTTTTCACAAAGTTGCCCCAAATCTGATCTGATCTGAATTAAGCTGCTTTTCTCTGTAAGGTTGTCTCCTTCTCCACTGGTAAACCGCTTATCCCTCTGACTGCTTGTGCATTTGTGCAGAAAACTTCAGAGTCAAACTGACCAAACCTTCATATCAGGGACCAGAGGTGACCCGGATCTCCGGCTAAAACAGCTGTCTTTAGTGGAAGACCTCGCAGTGACCAAGCCAAGAGGCGGAACATGCGGTGAGCATCATAAGCACTTATGATTGTTTTTATATTTATGAATATTCAGAACAAATGGCCTGAACTGTGGAGCAGGGCATTGTGTACAAAATATTTTGTCTGTATGAACACAACTGTCACTTAGCACCTCTCTTTGTCCTACACCTCAAAATCACTTTTTGTATGCAGTGCATGAAATTCAGCATGCATCACAAACTCACACATTTGTAAGAGTAACAGCACTGGAAAGAGTCCAGAGCTGCAAAAGGAGAGGATCTTGAAGGGGACAATATCAGCCAAATAAAAAAGTTTTTATCTTATTTTAAGTGTTTCTGAAGCACGTACTATGGAATTCACTGGTTGGAAGAATCCAGCTTGCTGTTATGCTTGAATTTTACTGTAATTTATGCAGGAATGGAATCTAACTAGCCTAATCATTGGGAACTTCAGTAGCACTTTAGAAT